GTTCCCGTTCTCCCGGTCCCGGTTCCCGTTATCCCAATCCCGGTTCCCATTATCCCGGTCCCGGTCCCCATTATCCCGGTTCCCGTTCCCGTTCTCCCGGTCCCGGTTCCCGTTCTCCCGGTCCCGGTTCCCGTTATCCCCGTCCCGGTTCCCGTTATCCCGGTCCCCATTATCCCGGTTCCCGTTCCCGTTCTCCCGGTCCCGGTTCCCGTTCTCCCGGTACCGGTTCCCATTATCCCGGTCCCGGTTCCCGTTCTCCCGGTCCCGGTTCCCGTTGTCCCGGTCCCGGTTCCCGTTCTCCCGGTCCCGGTTCCCGTTATCCCAATCCCGGTTCCCATTATCCCGGTCCCAGTTCCCGTTGTCCCGGTCCCGGTTCCCGTTCTCCCGGTCCCGGTTCCCGTTCTCCCGGTCCCGGTTCCCGTTATCCCGGTTCCCGATCCCGTTCTCCCGGTCCCGGTTCCCGTTGTCCCGGTGCCTCCGTCCCAGGGGGCGGTGCCGCGTTCCCGGTACCTTCAGCTCGGCGATGGTGAGCGATGGCGAGAAGCGTTTACAGGCCCGGAAAGCGTTCAGGGAGCTGCTCACCGCCAGCCACACCGGGCCCGGCCCGGTCCCGCCGCCGTTCATGGCTCCGGTACCGACCGGGCCCTGCCGGTACCGCCCAGCCGGAACCGAACCGGGATCCCCGGGCACAGCCGGGGCAGCTCCCCGGGAGCCTCCGGTGCTCTGAACCGGGAGCCCCGAACGGTTCCGGGCCCGCCCGAACCGGAGCCGCTTCTGGAACCTTCACGGGCCGCCACAGCCGGGACCGGTGAGGGAAAGGCCAATCAGAGCTGGCAGAGCTGGTCACGTGACGCAATCCGACCAATAGCGATAGAGAAAGGGAGGGACGAAGGGAACATTACCCAATAGGAGCTTAGGGTGGTGGAACAAATGAGGCTTGACCAATAGAAAGAGAGAAAGGGAGGGAAAACAGAGACATTCAGCCAATAAGAAAACAGAAGGGCGGGTCAAAATGAGAACGGACCAATAGTAATAAGAAAAAGGCGGGGCAAACGGGCTCGTCCAATACAAATAGGAATTGGCGGGCACTGGGGTGTGCGGACCAATGAAAAGAGGCAAAGTCAGTGATTGACGGGTGGTTTGACCAATGGGATGAGAGAGGCGGGGGAAAAGGGCGTGTCCGCGCAGCCATGGACGGCGACGGCGCGTACGAGCCGGGCTTCGTGGGGATCCGGTTCTGCCAGGAATGGTGAGGGGGAAACACCGGGAAAAAGCCGGGAATTTGTGGGGGAAAACAACGGGAATGGCCCGGGGTGCACGGGGAGTTTGGGGGAGGCGGGGGGGAATTGTGAGGGGAAAAATACAGGGAATTGTGAGGGGAAAAA